TTTCAAAATGTGCCATAATAGAAAGAAAAGAAAGAGGGGTGTGAAGGAAAATGCAGATTCCATAAAATCCTCTTGGCCTAATAGCACCATATTACTGTGATTCCATTTATTCCAGCCCACGATGTAGGTATAAGACTGTGGCCTTGTTCTTTGCAGATTGATCGATGGTCGGCCTGACTTATCTGCTAAGTGCCTCAAGCCAAAAGAACTCAATCTTCCAGTACAGGGCTAGGCCCACAAGTACACGTCTTTCCACATCACCAGCTGGCTGAACCACGATGACCCAGAATTAAACTCTCCACTTAATTTACCACGTGTGCCTGTTCATGACATTCGCCCCAGTGTGAATTTATAAGGTTCTTATCACCCCAAAACAGAGCTGAAAAAACTACAACCTTTGGCAGGCAATTTTTGATTATACAACTAACAAAATCAAACATATGGTTTAAAAAAAAAAATCTCCCACATATACTTAACCTGTACCAGCTGTTCAGAAATCTACCCGGTGCTGGGTAGGCACATTGGTAATACAAGAAACAGTCTCTGTGTCAAGGGACGGATAATCTGGGGAGACACGCCAAAGGGAAAGGAAGGTGAACACAGAACAGTACTCAATTCTGAAGTGATGTGGAACAGCAGACCAAAGAAAGGAACTGAAAGGAGAACCAAGTAAAGCAAGGAAAACCGTCTTCAAATAGAAAAAGACTTAGGTCTGACTCTGAAGTGGGACAGGAGGTTAGAAAGAAAGAAGAATGCACAGGAGTCCATCTTAGGCTAGGGGTGCCTAGGAATGGGTCGGTTTGGTGGCCAATATCAGTTGGGGTTGTTCATAGATTTGCTTTTTTACCAAACAGCAAAATGGCTGGGGAGGAAGCAGAGAAGGATCATGTGCCCAAGGCCTGAACTATTGTTATCATTCACAAGATTACAAAAAATATAATATCCAAATTTATTTGAAGAAACTTTTGAATTCGGGGTGCCTGGGTGGCTCAGTTGGTTAAGCGACTGCCTTCGGCTCAGATCATGATCCCGGAGTCCCGGGATCGAGTCCCATGTCGGGCTCCCTGCTCAGCAGGGAGTCTGCTTCTCCCTCTGACCCTACCCCCTCTTGGGCTCTCTCTCTCAAATAAATAAAATCTTAAAAAAAAAAAAAAAAGAAACGAAGAAACTTTTGAATTTGGATCCTCCAATCCAAATTGAGGCTACAAGAATAACTGACTTTGCATATTAATCTGTAGCTAGGCCAAAAGATTTGCTACTATCAAGTATTCCGGTTTCATTTACTTCACGTTAACTCCTCACCCTACCTACAGTCAAGACAAGCAAGACAAGCCTCAAGTAAATGTGACTAAAAAGAAAAGATACACAGGTTGAGTGCCCATATTTTGTTTCTGTACTTCCTACATAATATCTAATGGTTTTGTCACTCTATATTTTAAATGCATCATTAGAATACACTTGACAACTATCATTAGAATACGTTTGATTTTTTAAAATCTGAAAAATTTGGGGGCTCCTGGGTGGCTCCATCGGTTAGGCATCTGCCTTCGGCTCAGGTCAGGATCTCGGGGTCCTGGGATGGAGCCCACGTCGGGCTCCTGCTCAGCTCCCTCTCCGTGTTCTCTCACTCTCACTCTTGTTCTCTCTTAAGTAAATAAATAAAATCTTTACCCCCAAAAAATATTAAAAAAATAAAATAAAATCGGAAAAGTTTCTATTGCAGGTTATCTATTTTGGGGATGTAAACATATCCTATTGTTTCAGAGCCAGAACGACAAAGCTCTGGTTCTAAACTTTTCCTTGAAAATACTAGCCTGAAAGGAGTTAAGTTAAAGGAGAGTAAAAAAAAATTAACTTTCCACTCTTTGGAAGCAGCTAGTGTGAGGGGTCTACTCAAGGCCATCATAACCCAAGTTCTTTCACCTCCTCAAAGACACCAAAGGTTTATCAACTGAAAGGTTTTATCAACCTCTGGGCACAACCTTTCCCAAATGCCATCCCCCCGATATTTCAAACTCCATCTTTCCAACAGCAATACATCTGTCTCAAAACAACCTGACCTCAGTTTACCCACACCGCCACTGTACAATCAAACCAAGACACTCATCAGCAGACTTCATCCCGAAACAAAAGCCTATGCCACCAGGAACTACCACAGGGACCAGCAAGTTAACCAAGTGCCACGTCACCTTGCTGGAGAGGGGCTCCAACTCACCAAAGGGTTCCTAAGGTTCATTAAGAAAAGCATCAAAATGTCATCGACTCACTCTCCTGATTATAATATTCCCAATTGAAAGTGTTATTATAAGTCCTCATTAAACTGCTTTCCTTAGGTCCACACCATAAAAGGAAATCTGAGGAAAAAGTCTGTGAGAGAGAATAGGGCACTTACTCAAAGTATTCTTTCCCTCCTTATAATACCATGAGCATTCCTGAGAAAATACAAGTAAGACCCAAAATATGTACACACACTTTGGTTTCAACAATGTAAAGTATGTGTAGGCATATGGGCGGGATCTGGCAGGAAAAATAAATTAAAAATAACTGTTTGGTGGGGTTTGAGGCTTATTTTTTTCAAATTTTTATCTTTTTTTCCTCCAATAACAACAAAAAATGAGATCCAAAGAAAATACACAGGTATAAAGTCTGTACAGTTAAGGACTAACAATTAACTTATTAATTTCCTAATATCTGGAAAGGCCCCAGCAATTTTTATCAAAACTCAGTAAAAAATTTTTTTCAAAAAAATAAAAAACTGATAGAAAATATTTATACGCATAAAGCCTGATATAATGAAGAAAAATAACTCATCAGTTTCCTATAATTTTAAAAAGGTCCAGTCCTTTGAAACTAGCTTGGACTGTGTCCCTTGCTTCACTAAAACTCATGCTCCTCAAATTGTCATTTAAGAAATGATTTTGTAGATAACCAAACCATTGTTTTAAATTCTTCAAGCCCCTTTGGTATTAGGGGCTTCCTTTTCATAACTTAAGGACTGGACTCTTCCTTCTACCAAGTGAAGGAAGATACATCCCCAAAAAGTCCAAAAGCACCCATAGAATGTGGGGCCAAGGCAATGGGCAGCCCATCTCCACTCCCATCACCCAGAGGAAGGTAGTCACCTATCCTGTCCAACAGGGTCTGTGGCAAAACACACCCATTCCCTCCAGCTAGAAGGTCTTCAGCTGGGTGTGCTGTCCTCTTGGACTCTGATGTCAACAGCAGTGACCCTGGAAGCTTGGCCTCCACAGACAAGGGTGGTGGAAGGGGAGGACGGGCTGATCTTACTGGACAGTCCTGCCACCAGAGTGGAGGAATTTATGGGACAGATAAAGGTGACAGTCAACTCAGCGGCCAAGGAATCAAACCCTGAGTATCAAGACCCCAAATCAGAGCCAGATACAGTCTCTCTCTCTCTCTCTCTCTCTCTCTCCTGTAAGTTTCTTCAGCCTAAAAAGCAGCCCCTGTAAATGAAGGAGAAATGTTGTAGCCCCGCTCTGCCTCATGATCACGGGCTGGCTTTGGAGAAGTCCTTTCCCGTAATCAACTCCTGAATTTTTACATGGGGCTGGGGGGCGGGGGGATGAGGGCTTGTTTTGAAGCTGCGTTTACAAGGGATTTCATTTTGATTATATATATATATATATATATATATATTCCTCTGGAGAAGGGGTTCTTGGAGATGAGTCTAAAGCCCCGGAAGCTACCCTTTGGTACTGCTACCGTCCCTTCCTGTCTCTGAGCCTCAGTTTCCCCATCTGTAAAAAAAGTCTGCGCTGGACAGCTATCCTGTAACTCAGAGATATCGGAAGAATCAAGAAAGAGAACAGCCACAGGCCCATCTACACACACCCCAAGCCCAGGGGGACCCCCGGGGGGTCGGGCAAAGGCACTGCGCGGGAGGGTGTGGCCCCAGGCCCCTAAACGCCGTGGCATCCCTTGGGGGACCCGGAGGTCAGAAGGCTGCATCCTGACCCGGAGGACGGAAGGAAGCGCGTGGGGCGCGCCGGCTACTCACGGGTCCCCGCGATCAGGCCCTCGGCCGCGGCAGTGGATGGGGTTGAGCTCGTCCTGGGGAAAGGCGTGCGCCATGTAGTTGTCGTAGCCGAAGACGAACATGCCCCGAGCTAGGTCGCGCATCTGGGCGCGCAGCTGCGGCGGGAAGGCGCCGCTGTAGCGCTTCTCGTACTCGTCCGGGCCGCGGCCCCGGCCGCCCAGCACGTAGCCCCAGTGGGCCGGGCCGCACACGCCCGGCTCCGGCCGCCGCGGAGCCCGCCGCCGTCCCGCTGCCGCCGCCCCGGGACCCGGAGGCTGCAGCCACGACGGCCCCGACGGCCCCCCGGGCCGGCCCGCGGGCCCCGACGCAGGAGACTCGGGGCCGTCGGGAGCCCTCAGGCGCTGGAAGCCGAAGCTGAGCGGAAAACGCTGGTAGAAGCCCATGCTGGGCCCCAGCCCGAAGACGAGCCACAGCACTCCATGGAGGCCAAGCCGGAGGAGCACCAGCCCCAGGACAAGCGCTCGCCATTGCATGGTCGCGCGGGCGCCGCGGGCATTATTTTAAAGCGCGGGGAACCTCCCCCGCGGACCACCGCACCCCACACCCGCCCCGCAGCCCCGCTCACTTCCCCTTTAAGGAACTCCCCCGTGACGCACCAGGAACCGGCCCATTGTCCCCCTCCCCCAGTCCCTCGGGCCGGCCGGCCTGGCCCCGCGTTCGCCCGCCCAGTCGCCGGGGATTGGCCCGGCCCGGCCCGGCCTCGTGGGGCGCGGCCGGGGACTCCCTTCGGCGCCATAGGCCGTCCGGACTTCCGCAGCGCCGCGAGGCCCCGCCCCATCATCCCGCCCCGCCCTCGGGGCCCCGCCCCATAGTTCCGCCCCGCCCCCTGGGCGGTCGGAGTCCAGATGGGCTGGCGTGGCGAGTAGGGGCCGCTCGGGCTACTTGCGGAGGAAACTTCCAGCCAATGGGAGCGCTGCACGGGAGCACCAGTCGGACGCCGGACAGAGACTTGGCCCCCTACCCGCCCGGCTCTGGGTAAAGCCTGTCTCCCGCCTAGCTGGGACCGTCACTCCAACTCTAGGTTAGGGATGGTTCCAGTTAAAAGACGTAAGGAAGAGAAGGGAAACGGGCATTTCCTTATAAAAAGAGCTACTTCTGCATTGCAGGGGCAGGATTTTTAACAAGATCATTGTTGTTTACGGTGGGGGGTGGGATACTACCTGGTAGCTCCAGACGGCACAAAAAAAGGTATCCTGAATTCTACTCTTTTTATCAGAACACCATAATTTTTTAAGAATCGCTTACTGCGATTGTAAAACACATATTCCCTTATCTTGTACTAGACCTAGCAAATGCCAGTGGAGGGTCCTGAGAATGTGTGTATAACAAGAGCTCTTGGGCGATTCTTAACATCTGGCAATTTCAGAAATGCTGAATTAGATTACATTGCCTTTGTCTCGGAAATAGGAGCTTAAAAAAAAAAAAGAGGGTAAGAGTAAGGTGGCCGCTACCACCGAATTATTTTTGCCAAATCTATTTAACCAGGTCCCCTCCCGCCTCTGCTACTCCCACTGTATCTTTTGTGCACCACAGTAGCGACCTAACCTTTGGGTTTTGGACAGATTCTTGGTCAAAGCACTTTATCCATTCTGTATCTACTTTCTATAATTAAGAAGGTTGCAAATACCAGCTCTGAAGGGCTATGGCTCTCATGTAACGATTCAACAGTTTAGAGGTTTTTTCTTTTGTTTGCTACATTTGTAGATGTCTGTTAAGGTGTTCCCTCAAAGTTAGACCATGTGCTTGTTACACCAAGGTTTCTGAAAAGAATGGGAAGCAAAGCCTGATGGATGGCCCAAGTCAGAGATTGGCTTAGTGACCAAAGGAGTGATTAAGAGGATGATAAAGTTGTCATGTGGCACAATCATCCCATTTTCAGAGTCAGGGGACTTTTTTAAGAGTTTATTTATTTGACAGAGAGAAACAGTGAGTGAGGGAACACAAGCAGTGGGAGAGGGAGAAGCAGGCTTCCCGCTAAGCAGGGAGCCCAATGCGGGGCTAGACCCCAGGACCTTCAGGAGACTTTATGCAACACAGAGGAGGTGTATGTAATGGGGACGCAGAAGGAGCCCAAAGAAACATTGTATTACAACTCTAGGTAACTGGCACCTGGTAAGACCCCTTTTTTGGCTGAGCCTTATTCCTCCCCCCAAAATCCTGAGAGATAGGCCTGCCCAAGCCTCAGAGTATAAAGAGAGCTTGAACCAAGGTCTTTTGCCTACTTCATTTACTCCTCTGTGAAAGGCAGCTGGGAACCCTGCTAGAAATCCAATCTTAGGGCTTGATCCTGGACTTTCAGGTCTGCCTTCCAAGGACTTGAAAACTGAATGTGAACATTAAGGTATGTGTTGTTCCCTTCGTAAGCTATTTTATTGCAAATCTTAAAAGTTTTAAATTTGATCTCGCACCATGGTCAAGTGCAGTCCACATTAATGACAGCTCCTGTCCTCGCATTTGGAGACAAGCTCTAATAAAAACAATAACAAATTTCTTTTCATAACCAGAGAAAACCAACTTCTGAGAGATGCTTTTCCTGGTAAAACTGACAGTAGCTGCCAATCGTGTACGTCTTATGGTTTTCAAAAAAAATTTTTTTAAGATTTTATTTATTTATTTCAGAGAGAGAATGAGAGAGAGAAAGCACGAGAGGGAAGAGGGTCAGAGGGAGAAGCAGACTCCCTGCGGAGCAGGAAGCCCGATGTCGTACTCGATCCCAGGACTCCAGGATCATGACCTGAGCCGAAGGCAGTCGCTTAACCAACTGAGCCACCCAGGTGCCCTGGTTTTCAAAATTTGTTTAATCTTCACTGAAAGCACTGTTAGGCCTATTCCACAAGCCCTAAGGGAAGAAATCAGGTTGAAAGGTTCAAGTTCTCTGAGCTACTTACTGTAGGCAGAAAAAGAGCTATCCCCCAGGTCTCCTGAACTTCAGGGGAATTTACCGAAACTAGCTGGCCCTCAAAGCAACTGGTTTTTCTACTCTTCCCAAGCCACCCCACAGGCAACATTGTTGCCATTAGCGCCCTGCAAGGCACAGCCAAAGATTTGGGAGCCAGGTTCAGAAAGTGTTTTGTCTTGAATTAAACTGAACCAAAAGAACACGGAATATCTCGTGCTAGCCTTTTGGATTAGCCTAGGACTCCCCTCTAGGTAAATGTGGCTGTTAGGGGTGTTGTCCCAATCATATCTATTCAGAAAACCTCAACCTTAAAAATAACTTTATGAAACTGTTTTCTGATAGGCTTTTCTGCACAGTCTCCCAAGAGCAGCAGGGAACTGATAAAAAAAAGAATGAAATGTACTATGGTAAAAATGGCTTCACTCTGGGGGACGCCAAAGATGACAGCTAAGAACCCAGACTCAAGCCAATTGCCAGATGTTCAAATCATAGCTCTGGCCTCTGAGTGACCTTGGGAAGTTACTTTTCTGGACCTGGTTTTCCCATCTGTAAAATGAGGGTAATAAGAACAGTACTTAGAGCATATGGCAGTTGTGAGAACTAAATTATTGAATGTATTACCTACAACAGGGTTCCATAGTAAGCCCTTTTACTACTCATGAACTCTGTGAACTGACCAGCATTTAGTGTAAGTACCTGGTTCACATGAAACTGAGGTCTGTTGGATGAATTAAACAAGTAAGCTGCCTCCTATTTTCAAAGCACTATTTTAGGAGGAAAACGTGTCTAAAGAAACCAAATCTGAGACTGGACAAGGACTAAAACTCACCACAGTCCAAGACCGGCTGAAAGAGCCTTGAATCCTCACGTCTAATTCCAGTTCTACCTAACCTGTTCCAGCTTCTATACCTCATGGTCCTAAATCTCTGTGATTTGAAATTATATCCCACAAGGTGATCCAAATTCTATCTCTGTCTTAGATAGCTGAAAGAAGTGACCTAGGATGTGTATTTTGGTGTTTAAAGATATCCGCCATTGTAAATAAATAGGTGGACATTCCAGTTTTCAGAATCAATCTTGTGAGTCTGAGTGAATCAGTGCACTAAGTTCCTAAAACTGCAAAGCCAGAAAATAGCTGTGGCCCTAAAATGACCGCAAAGGGTAGAAGGATACTTCCAGAGATTCCTATGTTAAGTATCAGCGTTAAAATAGTCTCTTAAAAGGAGGATTTTTCTGCTCTAAGGAATTAAAAGGGATTATCTGAAGCAACAATGTAAAACAAAACAAGTGACAAAATGATGACTTTTAAAACTGAGTACCGCTTCTTTCTGAAGCAATATATACTTGCTTTGTAAAAGGTGAGGGGGGAGACTTAAGAAAAAAAGGGGGGACAAGGAGGAAATTACCTACAATCACATTAATTTGGGGCGCCTGGGTGGTTGTCTTAAGCGTCTGCTTTCAGCTCAGGTCATGATCCGAGGGTCCTGGGATTGAGCCCCACATCTGGCTCCCTGCTCCACGGGAAGCCTGCTTCTCCCTCTCCCACTCCCCCTGCCTGTGTTCCCTCTCTCGGTGTGTCGCTGTCAAATAAATAAAATCTTAAAAAAAAAAAATCACATTAATTTGGAGGAAATCCAACTCCAGAATTAAGGTAATACTGCCTCTTCAGCAGGGTAAGAAAAGCTAAATTTCACATTTAAAATTGTATGTAATTATCATTCCCACTTATTTGATGGGCAGATATCCAGAAGTATGTCAACACACTCTGCTGACAAGACATGGGGGACAGGAACTGGTAGAAATAAAAACTGGCATATCCTCTGTGAAGGGAAGTTTGGCAACTCCTAGCCGAAGTACAAACCCATTTACCCTTTGACACAGATATGCTTCTGTGAATTGCTGCACACATACATGATTCACTGCAGTACTGGTCACAAAAGCAAAAGGTTATAAACAACCCAACCATCTCTCAAAAGGAGACCCAGTTAGGTGAACTATGGAATCTGGACCAGTGAAAACCACATACACAATGAAATGGGAACCATGCTGCTATAAAGAATGAGGAACTCTCTATATATTGATATGGAAAGATCGCTAGGACAGAGTAATTGGATAAAATCATGTTCAAATCAGTATACCACTTTCTGTGTAAGAAAGTGATTAAAAATATATATTTCTATTGGCTTTTTGTATTTTATATAAAGAAAACACTAGAAAAATAAATAAGAAAGTGATGTAAGGATTACCTGTAAGACCAGAGTGGTGGTGGAAGGAAGGGTGGTTAGTCATGGGTCAGACCGACTGGCATGTTTCTTTGGGTATTTTCAATTTTTGAATCATGTGACTTACCTATTAAAAATCATTCAAAAAATAAACAGAACCTAGAAAAAAAAAAGTGGTAAGCTTCCTTTCCCCACCTGGTCTACTAAACCACTAAATCAAATATGGTGATTATCCACCAAGAATTGATATTCACCATTCATATGCCATGCCCACCCTTTGCGTTATTGATCTTTCCAAGAGAAAGTAGGTATCATAAAAATTCTTAACTTTCTTCGAAGGGTGAGGAGAGCTTGTGCTTTCATAAATCAACTAGCGATATGATAAATATTAACAATTTCTTTTTCCTTAGAAAATGATACAAATAGAAAAAGGAGTTATTTAATTCAAATATTGGGTAACCGGTAGATAGAAATGGTGGACTTTTAATATGCAGCAACAGGATAGTACATTGTGTGATACAGACTGTACAGAAGAGTAGGCCAAAGCTGTATATAAAAGCTGGTTGGAGGAGATACCATAATTGGCAATCTATTAATGTTCTATATCCCATGTTCAAAAGGGATTACATTGATTTTGTTGGGATTTTTTTTCCCCCTCTCATTACTTTGAAAAGAAGTATTTTCTAACTGCTCCAGTTTTCTCCAAGCTCCAAATAAATTCTAGCAGAACCCAGTTAACACGGCAGTTTATATAAAGTGTTAAACATTAGCTCTAAAATAGTTTGCCTCCAAATTAGTAGTGGGTATGTCTTTTTCCACATTGTATACCAGAATAAACATTTTTCTGCAGTCTG